CGTCTGAAAAGAAACCAGCGTACAAATAAAGAGACGTGCAAAAAAACGCTTAACTAACATTTGTTGACTTTTGTTTACAAATGCAAATTTACCTATAATATTTGCACTGCAAACCCAAGCCATCCATAGTATTTTCAACCAGCTCTACTTCAACTCCAACTATTTATTTCTTTTTGTTTCATTTCGAGCGCCGTGACAATTTGCCAAGCAAACTTTTTGCGTTCAGATAGCGGCGAAAATTGTTTGTTTAGACCTTAGCCAGGCAACGACAACAACAGGCAAAGCCAATTACGGTTTTTAATTATAAGTAAATATTTCATGTGACCGACCGACTTTTGGCGCCCGCAGAAAAAAAAACCACAAGAAACCACACCAAAAAACCTTATCGATATGGCTGTTTGTGCAACAGGTGCGCCACCCAGTGGACAAGGTGCGAACCACACCACGTAACCTTTCCACATGTGGTAGACTATATCAGTGCTATATCTTATCTGAAAGGTCCTCACGTTTCGCGAGCCAAATTCCATTCGAATGAGAACCAAAAACTAATAGTATTGGTGTATGTACTTTCTACTAATACCAGTATGTATGTTAGTTATTGAAGATAATTGCGCTCTTAAGTTACCAAAATCCCTGTTCAATCTTTTAAACGAGAATGAATAATAATAAGTTTTAAGACGCCGGACCAAAACACAAGAAAAAATCAATAATGTGAAGTGAAGTTCATACGAAAGTAATTTTTTCCACATTTACAAGTAAGCTTTTGGCTGTCATAATATCGGTGAATGTTTTTTGGGTTTTATTTCGAGTTGACCACTGGCTGACTAATTTTTGCAAATGAGTATGGGATTTGAGTGTTGTCACTCACTCGCTTATTGTTTCCTGTTGTCGAAGAAAATAAACTTATGCTTGGTTTTACAATGTGGGCGTGTCGCATTGCGGTAATTTATTAAGTGTTTTTTTCTCACTCTCTTTAATTGCCGCCCAGATGATTTAATGTCTTTTACTTTCTGCCTTTCCTCCGGTTGTCTTTTCTTATGACTTTCACCTCGCCAAAGTGAAATTACGGCCTAATGACTAAACATTTCATTTAATTAGAAGACTCATCGCGCAGATGAAACCGAGACAATAACAAAAGGGCGGAACACGAAAAGTTTTCTGAACTCTCTGAATCTGTAATCTCAGATCGTAGCTCATTATAAAAATTTGGCAATCAGGGTAAATGATCTGACACCTGAAACCTCAAAGCGGATTACGGCAGTTTAATTTTGATTTTGATGGATGTGAAGATTTCTGGGAAGGCAGTTCACTCCCTTCCACCAACAGTTTCTTACATTTTTAGCTTTACAAAAGCCCGGTTTTAATGGGAAACCCCTGTCGTTATTTTGACATTTTCGGGATGCTCTGTTGTCGAACCCTTTCCGAGGCTGGCTGACTCACCAGAGGAACCTGCAAAAGTTGCAACATTGCAACGAATTAATCAATATTTACCGCTACGATGTCAACGCCACCAGAGAAAAGGTTTGCAGCATTAAAAGACCGTAAACTCGACGGACAACTGGCCCAAAGTGTGGACCATCCGACTTCCAAGAAGCTGGCAACTTGATATAGCCAAAGTCAGCTCCAAACATTTCTGAATACCCACAACTGCTGGCGAGGAAAACCTCGGTGCGGCGACCAAAGTTTGATTTATGCGTTGCGATGCTCAATGGGCGATACGACGGGGCCAAAAGGAAGTAACCGCAGTCAAATTTCCAGGCCCAAACGGCACGACTACCAAATGCGCTCGCTGGCCAACTCGCTGCTCTGCCTGGCGGTTAAACGCAGCCAAACATAAATTATAGGCCATGGCTAAGTAGGAAAACTGTTGGCCCAACCGGCCAGGCACAGTGGAAAAACCTAGGGGAATTGAAGATAACGAATGCCCAGAATTCCTTGCTCTCAAATGAGTCACATACCTTGAGAATATTTATATTACTTTATACTTACAGATCTAGATATACTCGTTTCGATTTTAATGCCTCTGACATTGATAAGCACGCTTTATCATTTTTTGACAGTTGGTAAATTAATGTTTCGCATTTGACATCTTTAAAAATAGCCTACTCAAAAGTAATCTCATATGTTCAGATCAAGTTCTGGTTTTTGTTCCCAGAACTAAGCAACAAAAAATTCAAATTATTAATGAGATACCTCTACTATAGCACTTCTCTATTACCTTTTATCTGACCTAATTCAAATGGGAGTGCATTTTCTTTTATTTTAAAATATGATTTGGAATGGATTTCGTGAGCTTTAAGACTATTTGGGCTTTGTCTTATTTTGCACAATTTTCCCATAGTATTTTGCATTTCCCAGCAGCAGCTTCACTGCCAGCACTTTTCGCCTTTCCCACTACTTTCATAATGTTGGCAAACATTTAACGAAAGTCCATAAGTACAATACACATGCCCAGGAACTTCGGCAGCCATATAATGCAAAATTTCCCTGCACTGCGGATGTTGGGGCTCTTGAGATGTTGAGCTGTAGAGCTGTGGAGCTGAGGAGCTGTTGTTTGCCCCCCAATCCGATGCCATAAGATCCGATGCGGAGTCGAAGTGGTCGGATTCAGATACATGTTGCCGCCGTCAATGTTTCGCCTTTGTCTCGTAAATTTGAACATTTTTATTATAAAACCAAGCACCAGGCACGGTTGCTGATTTCTCACACAATGCGCGCGATTTTTTTTGTATGCATTGCGAGCCTGAAATTGATTAATTACAAAGCGGAAGACTTGCTGATCCAACCGGGCTAAGACCAAAAACAACAGCCATTTTTCAGGCTTAATTTTCTATATTATTTCGGATTTGTTTTTATTGCAGCAATCGAGTGGGCTTCGTGATTTGCTGTAACCACGATTCTCAGTTGTTGTTCTATTATTTGTTAGTCTGAAGGTTTCTGCATTATTTAAATGACACTGACACCACTGACATTTGAAAATTACATTCCACTAATGCAAAAGTGTGAATCAATAAAAATGTCTAATCGCCTAGAAAACATTTTTATGGTCGTTACTTGAATCCAATAAGTAACACAGACAAGATAAGAATCGTAAACACTTTGAAAATAATTCTAATAAAATTCATAATTCACATTAAATACGTAATAAAATTGTGGCATTGAAATACAAACATGAAATAAAAATAAAAATAAGAATTGGGATAGGTTTGGGAATACAAGTAACCGAATACCCTAGGAATCACATGTTCTTTAGATTGCCTTGTATATATGTAATCCCATATAATTACCAGTTCTGGCGCCTTCTTCGGTCTGGCGCCCTTTAAGCATCTCACGGATTGCAAAACGTATCTAAAATCTGAAGTGACAATGGGGGGCAGTAATGTCAGTTGTACTTACACTTAATTGCTGTCAAGTGTTTTGCGAAACCCTAAACTAGCACAGCATCTGTAAAGTAGAAGCGGTGTTTAGGGGGTTATCCAGTGAAATGTCAAAGCAATTAATTCCAATCGACTTGTGATAGATACAAATTTGTATCTCTTTATACCCGCCATGCTGCAAGAAGTTGAGACATTATGCTTTTGATGTCACATGTGTGTTTGCTTTTTAATGATTCTGTGTGCCACTTAAATTTCACGGAACTGCCGCTGTTCTGCTGTAGCCGCAGTTTTAATGAGCTATTAAAATGCTTGGGGAATTGTAGTACATGTGTAAGAGCAAATTGTCATAAACGCAAACCAGCAACAGGATTCTTTACAAGTTTATTTTTATGAAGAGGATTTGTTTTATGTTGATTCCTACTAATGGACTCCATTTAATGGAGGTATTTTGAGATCCGTTCTATTTATACACATTTATGTAATCCCATATCTAAACGTTAAAAAACGCATCTACAACAAAACTAAAGCTGTTTTATTTCTGTTTCTAGGTAAGTTCTGATGTTGATTGCCGTCTAAGGTCGCAATACTTTGATTAGCACATTTGTAAGTAAATATTATAAGTAAGCACACATAAAATAGGTCGCTATAGAAATAGATAAACTATTTTCGGTCACTGATCTCACTTGAATCAAATTGAAGAAAACGCCTGTTTGAGAAATATGCTTTATTAGGTGATTTAGTTGTAAAACCTTTTTTGACACACTCCATTAGACAGACTCCAATATAAACGCTTCATTTGCCAAATCATTTAACATAATTAGACGGCAAACACGATATGATCTCATAACCAGTTTCCCTGGCCGGCAAATCCTTTCGGTTAATTGGCGAACCAGGGGAAGAACAAAGGAGTTCTACCTGTGTCAGTCTAAATTCATAATTCAAACATCAATTCCAAGAACCGAGCGTGTGGACACAATATTTCATAAGTGTCTGGCGACTGAAAGCCGAAGCTCAAGTCAATCCCACTTCCTTTTGGCTGAGGTTTCGTTATTGTTTCGACTTTATTTGCAATCAAACGCCAAAGTGCACGAGGCAGGGAAGAAGCTACAACACATTAACCTTCAAGTCGGGTTCGCTGGTATTACTTTTTTGACAATTTTCTGAAATGTATTTTGTCGTTTCGTTGCGCAAATAAAACGACTACAACGCCTGACAACAGCGACAACGAGCCGAGTTTGTATCTAAAATCAACAAGTTCACGACGACATCGCAAGCCAAACAGGCAAACAGCCAAAACACAAAAGATAAAAACTTTTAAGCGTCGGGCAAATACAGATAGATACTGAAAAAATAACACCAAAACCACAAGCACCAATACAACTGCTCCCCATTCATTGCCAGACCTTTGCTCACAAGGCAAATAGAACCCCAAACTAAACCCCAAAACTGAACCTATGGAAACCCTTTGAGTGGCAACCCAAAGCAGATAGTTTACCCGTTTACCCAATGCGTTTGGATTTGGGTGGTAATAATCAAATCGGGCCGGAAGTTTCCATTGTAAAATGTTGTATTTCGTAAGAGAACTAATAGATACTTTACTCCCAAATGATTAGATTGTATCATACCAAGTTATACATTTATTAAGAAATATTTATTTTTAAAACATTAGTCGATACAGTTCCGAGGGTAAACCAAATGTCCTTAGTGCGCAGACTGCTAAGAACTACAAAGATATTATACAGGATACATAGTTTCCCAAGTCCTTGGAAGAACATACGTGTAGAAATGAATTGTTTAGAGCATTACTTCACATCCCGACTGGGATGGAACTATTCTTCAGATACACTCTTCAAATCAATCCCCGGTTGGTTAGGTCCTCGTAAATGGCAGTTTCAAGCTTGCCGAGATCACTTTTCGCCCTGGCCAGTCGAGTTCCGACGCGAACCAGTCTCTCGGCCAATTGTTGATGCCGCAAGTTCAGCCTTTTCCTGAGGGAATCCAGAGATCGGTACTCCTGATCGCTAATGCGGTCCACCTCCAGCTGATCGTCCAGTTTGATGAGGCGGTGCAGCGTTTTATTCAGCTTCAACTGGATATCTTCACGTTCGGTTTTCAACAGCTCCTCGTCGCGTTTCTTCTGCTCCAGCCACTGGATCTCGGCAGCGGGAACTATTTTCCTCAGATCATTGATGTTCAGTGTCAGAACGTCGGAGGTTTTATTTATTTTCGGTGTCATTTCGATTGTAATTTGGTTTTATTTTCTCAAGCGATATTTTCGAAAATTTTGTCTGTTGAGAAAAGATTTGAATTTTTATCTATTTTTTTTTTTTAGTTATCTAGAGCTACTGGCTGCTCAAACGATTTCCATAAAACTGAAAGCTGGACGGGTTTTTCCCTAGCATACTGCTTATCGAAATAGGGTTCAATTTGATTTCCATACTATTACAAAACCAAAGTAAAAGAATAAGTATATTAAAAAACTGAATTTGGCCGCCCAGTGACTAATGGCACTGGAAATCGATCACCAGTGAATTGAATTTCGCACCTTTAATTGCAATTCAATACTTTTGACGAGGAGTTTCCAGTTTCCAGTTGCCATTGTAATGGATATCATACGAATACTTGCCTTCGAGTGATAGCCTACAAAGTTAACCACAATTGATGTCAAGTTAGGGGTTTATAATTTCAACCATTCTGACTTAAGTTTTGTGCAGGTTATTTCTGCTGAATGAGGGTGAAGCTTAAACCAAAATGATAAGTATTTATCAGAAGTTCAAGAGGCAAACCGCAGCTTATTTCTTGGAATTCTTTTGATCATCTTTTTCCTTGCCCTCGTGTAAAACCAAGGCTTCGATTTTCTTGAGGTTCTCCTGGATTTTCTGCCTCAAAATCTTCTCCTCCTTGCCCAACTCCTCGGAATTGGGTTCCTGTTTGTGCGAGGATCTTTCCATTCCCTCCGCTTGACTGTCTCCCTGAGCTCTCCTGCCCATGGGCAATCGAGTGACCATGTGCCGGGGAATCCGTATCTCTGCTCCTATCCGATTATCGTTTTTGTACTGACCAACAGCGCGAATAAATGGCTTTAGGGGACATCCTTTGGCTTGGGCTTCATCCATCAGCTGGCGAGCGTAGTCGAAGAAGAAGGCATCCTCGCGAAGCTCCTCCAATTGGGCCTCCCTGTTGTAGTTGGTACCTGGACGGGTCTCCTCCTCGGTGCGCTCCTTAACCTGCTCGTCGAGATCTTGGCGGAGTTTTCTTATCCTTTGAAGATGCTCCTCTCGCTGCTGCTGCTTAAACTGGACATTGGTTAGATCGTTTTGAAGACGCAGTTCCTCTGCCACTCTGCGATCCTCCTCGGCCTTCTGTCTGCTCTGCCGGGCCAGCTCCTCCTCCTCTCTCTGCACAGCCAAGCGGGCGTTCTTGCCCTGTTCCTTGGACTTCCTCCATTTGGCCTGCTCGGCACTGTGAACTTTTCGCATCTCTTCCAGCTGGCGCTTATGGCGCTCCTCATCCTCACGAGCACTATAGTGCAGCCGTGGAGCCAGTTCCCTGGCCAGTTTCTCGTTTCGCCTGATACGCTGCTGCACTCGCTCCTCGGCTCTGTTCCGTTTCAGCTGCTCCAAATGTCCCTTGGCCTTGTTGTGGATATCGCACCGCACCTGCTCCATCTCCTCGAGCATCTGGAGTCGCTTCTGGCGCTGCTCGGACATGACCAAGGAGGCCAGTGCCTCATCTTTTTTCTGACGCTGCTTGGCCGCCTGTAGCTCCTGCTCCTTGGCCCGCTGATCCTTCATCATGCGCTCATTTCGTTCCCGCTCTTTAAGGGCCTCCTCCAATTCCTTGGCTTTGGTGGCCTAGTGGATTGGTGGTAATATTTAATTCTCCATATATTCTATTTGGAAGCTTACCTGGCGTTCCCTTTCCCTCTCTGCAATTAAGTGCAATAACTCCTTTTTATGCTCACTTAGCTGTTGGCATTGCTCCTTGTGGCGCTGTTGGGCCTCCTCAAAACCCCGAATCACTTGCTCCTGGAAGATCTTTCTGTCCAGCTCCTTCTGTTGCTGGTTGACCCTAGCGAATTCCGCCTGCACTTCCCGTTGCACATTGACACTTCGCATGACTTCACTCTGAAGACGGGCGCACTGCAACTCCCGCGGACCAGGACGCAGTTGCTCTAGGAGTTTCTGGGCAGCCTCGATGCGCTTCTTCCTGGTTTTCTGATGCTCCAGGCGAGCAGCCTTGCTTTCCTCCTCCGCCAGGCGCTTGGCCTCCAGTTGCTCAGCCTGCAGCTGCTTTAGTTCCCGGGCGCACTCCTCCTCCCGTGTGATGCAGAGATTGCGACCGGCAAATTTCCGGAGGAGCTCCTCGCCTCCGATTCGGAGTTTCTCATCCGCCTCTTCACGAAGCTGCCGCTGATGCAGTTGCTCCTGTTTGGCTGCCTGCGTTGCATGGGCGCGGATGCGCTGGAACCGCTTATTTGAGATAACCACTGGTGGTTTTTCCCGGAAAATGGGTTCACGTCGCTCCTGTGGAAGCCAGCAATACTGCATGGTTTAATTTTCAGTTATTGACTGAACTATTTGCTTGGGGGTTCCATTTAGGAGTGGCGGGGTTTCCATGGATCTTGGTATTGTTTGGTAGCTAAAAGTCAAGACTTTCGGTAGCCAAGGAACCCAGGGATATCCAGGTTTATATTAAGGTTTAAATTATATTAAGACACGTCTTCCATTTCCTCTTCACATGTTTGGAATCGAATCTTATGGCTTCATCTATTGAATTATCAATTCTAGTTAGTTTGCTATAAATATCGTAAAGAAATATACAAAATTGTTCACAAATTCATAAGAAAGTAATCAAAAAGCCATACCATGATCAGATAAAAATTGTATTTAACCGTAAAACCGCCAAATGGATTTGGTATTGCCTGATTTTATCGCTTAATTCCGCCTAAATCATCCAAACTCATCATCATCCCACAAGTGTCGTAACCGAAAATGCCAAAACAGAAATTGCCGAGTGTTGCCAACATTTTGAGTAGTTCATTTTAATTAATTAGTTTTGCGAACCGAGTTCGCTGTGCTCACTGTTGTCCAACACAGCGACAAGTTACTGTCAACGCAAATGGCAAAGATTTTGGTTTGATGGCTTAATTATGTCCAAAAGTTATGTTGAGGCCATTTGGCAGAGTCGGCGGCGCAAGTGACAGGTTTTGTGATAAAAGTTGTTGATGTGCTTTTGGCAATTACATTTAGCCACAATTTTTGTGGGGGCTTTGGCTATCCGAGCCGAACCGATCCAATCTGGTGTGGTTAGATTTCTGGTTTGGGGTTTCCCTTCGAATTGTCAACGCGTTTTGTTTCCGATATTGAAAGCCAAACCCTAAAGGGCAAATCTATTTGGTCACGCTTCATTTGGCTCGTATCGTTGCATTGAAATCGTAGATTTAGCTCAAGAGGGTTTAAATAAATTTAATTAACACCTGACTGCGAATCCATACAACCACACCGGCACATTGCCCCGTTTACAAACCTTAGGAATATTCATTTCAATTTTGAATTGGGTCACTGCTCCGCTTTTGTCGCTCGTTGTTGGGGTCTTTTTATTCATACTCACATATCTAACCAAGCCACACAAAGTACACAAGCCCATGACGGGGCGATAAAGGGGCATGCCCAACTATTTACACCAAAATCCAGGTTATATAGGTACAAACTTTATCGCCCGGCAAGCCACTACACTCTTTAAAGGTGTTACAATGCGGTCAGTTACTATGCCCAAGTTCTTAGAAGTTGAAACTTCATTGGCAATTAAGTTCAGTGCTCACACTTTTAGGCTTTTAGTATTGAGATACTATTGCAGTGCGTTTTAAAGCACATATTAATTCCAAATTTCAAAGATTTCTTGACTCCTAACTAATCTTTTATACAAAATGTACTTTGGTTACGCTTTATACGCCCATTTGACCCCATTTCTAACCACTTTAGATCACTGCTAGCCAACTTCTTGTAGCATTTAGAGCACTTCACAGTTTCCCAATGCCTTTGACGCGAAGTGGTCTATAACTTGCTCACTTACACCATCTGAACATCCGAATAGCGACACATACAACACCTTATGGAAGACAGAAGACTGAGTACGTCAAGTACCCGATTCTTATCTAATCGAAACTTATTGGCTCCCCATAGACTTTGCCTGATACCGTGTAAATATACGACTGCCAGTGGTTCTACGTGGTACATACTATACTTACATACGTCGCATATAGCCAGACACCAGACATATATCACTTGATCTTCAAGTGCGAATGACAGCCCGGAGTAGGAAAGACAAGAGACCGAAGACCGAAGACTGAAGACCAGAGACCACAAGCCTTTCGCCTGTCCACGACTACCGTCCAGTTCGTTGCTTTTGCTTCCACTTGAATGACTTCATGTGCCCCCGTCGTCGGAAAACTTGAAAAACTTGTCTTTGTCTCTGTTCCACCAGAGGCTGGGGCACAAAAGACAGAGGGGCACGGGTACAAGTGGGTACTTACTTGCACTCGGGAACTTGAGAACTCGAAAGCTGGGCAACTGGAGAACTGAAGAACTAAAGAACCACAACGGAAGATCAAGAGCAGCCAGAACGACTGGGCCAACAAATGAGTGCAACTGTTTTAGCCCGAACCTGCAGTCCAGTTTACACAGAACTACTGAAAAGAAAACAAAATAAAAGCATAGAATAGACCTGAAGAAAATACAGAACAATCCCCAGTGACTTCTTTCGAGACGCTCTGTGTGTCTGAGTCTTCCGTCGATCTGCAAGTTCTTGGCTCTTTCTTCTGGTGGTTAGAGCAATTAACATGCAATTAAGAGACGTTTCAATCTCAAGAGCCATGGCCAAGAAGACATCGTAAACACTTTATCCGGTGGCTTGGTACAACTTTTGATGAGCCGATCGGACTTCTCATCAAGGTTCTAATTATAAAGTTCCAATCGTTAAGCAGCATCGTATCGATTCCATAGAAATTTTCGACAGGAAATTGATTGGATGTTTATGCCAAAGGAATTGCACACAGAAGCGGTGCAAAATGTGTGGGTTGTCTATAATTTATAGAACTTCAACATACGATCACTGAATCAGATACCCATTGACTCGGGGCACACACCCAATTTTCAAACAAACATTCATTTTACAAGTTCCTCAGTAAGATATCTATTAAATTCTCAAGTTCTATTTTCAGACATTATCATTTCGCCTCGTCACGCGCTTCTTTTTTACGCAACTGATTTACGGTTTTGATAGGTATCTTATATAAGAAAACATTGCCATTTCTTGTCTCTGATCTTGAGAGCCAATATCAAATCATAACGGAGCATTTATGCCCATGTTAAAAGTTGGAATTGTGCTTTGATTTATTAACCTGTCGCTCAAACGATTTACAAGCAAAGTCGAGAACAATAAGTGCCAAATACTTTTGGGGCTTATGTCATCTTGTGGTTGTAACTAGAAAAATATATACTCGTACATACAGTATAAGTGTGTAGGAATTTGTTTGTACTACAATATAACTTATAAGATCGTGCCCGATTTTCAGCTCCTCGAAAAAAACGAATTCAATTGAAGCGAGACTTCAATTTTTGGTGGGGTTAAATCAGTTGAACTCTTAATTGTGTAGTTTCATTATCAATTGAAGCGTTCCGTTCTTTTCACTTTAAATACGCTTGACAGCCCAATTCTGTTTGGTTCATTACAGAATAGCTGATTTCATAGGGCGATATGTGTGGCGAAGCTATTAAGTTTTCCATGCCAGTTTGCCAACAAAACAACATTTCAATGTCAGCCCGATCACGTTTTTGGAGGCAATTTGTTGGTGGATTATTTTTTTGAATTTGATACACTCTAAAGAGCGTGGCAAATTGCCCAAGTCGTCGGAGGGGGGTGGAAAGTATCGGACTTACATGGGGTTTTACACTGGTTTTGTCATCCATTGACAAACGGAACACCTGAGACTGAGACTGCGATTGGGTAACTACTCGACTAATAACCACTCGATGTTGGTCGTAAGCTGAGCTATTAGATCTTCTTTTTGGCGCACTTAGTGCTCATGTTCGCTGATAATCTGAGGTTTATTCGGTTGGGTTTGGTTGAGCCTCAGTGTCATTTGAAGTGATCGTCGATCTATAGATTCTGCTCCATTAATCATGTGGGTATTATAACTATGGGCCGCTAATATTTCAAATTTTTACAGCCGAGCTAACCATGTAATTACTGTGTTGTTTGTGGGTAAGGTCAGTTATTAGAGGGAATTACATGTTAGCTCAATAATGCGCTTCCAGTTCCATGATCCCTGACCAGTGGCCCATCTGTCCATCCACCAATTGATGATTCATTTAAACCAATGGCAGTATCTTTAAGTTCTTGTTTGACTTTGTCAATTTCGTTTTGTCAAAGTCGCCAATTCAATCTGTCAATCAAACAATTACGAAAGTGTAACCGAATATTCTATTTTAGGGATTGATTTCAAACGGCACCAGCAGTGCTGATTCTTTTTGATTTTTACAAATAAAAAGCGAAATCAATCAATCAAAAGGCATTAAAAACTCTATTTTGAGATACAAAAACCGAGAAAAAAGTTGAAATCAAGTCGGACGTCGACGGCGGGGCCAATCACACGCTCTATTTACAGCAAATTAAAAATTCAGAAACTACAAAAACAAATGCCGAAAGAGAAAAACAAAAACGATAAAACTGGTACAAATATTGGTCAAAATATTTACTGCCCCGCCCAAAGAAAATTTGATTAATGATCTTCAGAACGAAGCTGAGAAAGTGCCTTAAACGCCACAATAAACGGCAGTCAGTCGATCGAAAGGGGAAATTAAATCTTACACACATTAAAAACACCAATGAAGGAGAAAGATACAAATGGGGTATGCATTTTGATGCACAGAGAGAAAAGTCCATACATTTAAACAAATAAATTTGATGTGTATATGATTTAATATTAGTCTTATGTGTTCAAATGCAGGGCATTCAATTTGAAATATTAAATTGGTTGAAAATCTGTAGTCTGAATTAACTCTTGATAAATTCTATGTTTTGATTAAAGAGTATAGTACTATTTCCTTGGGGTTTTCTGAGTTTCTTGACTAATTTTAATGCCGAGTGTGTGGCATCCACTCCAAGTGGCGCCCACACGTGATGGCCATCCTCATTTGGTATGCTGCCTTCGCAGTCTTTGTGGCAGATTACCATCGATGGCGTCGCGTAACGCGCCAGACAAATGCTGAAAACTTGTCAATTCCTGGAGGGGGATATAGGGTTCCCAGTTGGGTAATTTATGCAGATTTATGCCGAATCCAGTTGGCAGAAATACTTTATAATATTGTACACACTTCTGCGAGCAACTGTGGACTCTAAAGTCGCTTTTTGCCCATTAGCATAATGGACCAATGTTGGCCAGAAGGAGGATCTTAGATCAGTAGCCAAAACCAGAAATGGCAGAAAAAACTTTGGCCAGAAGTAGCAACATATATCGCTAATGATGTGCTAATGTCGCCAGCAATGTTTGACAACCAAAACAGAAATATTGTTTTTACAAATTATGGTGATAGACTCAAAATAATAAAATAAAAAAGGCCTGATGCCAAGGGGGCTCTTAAATTTAAATACCCATAGAGTATAATAATATTGATGGCAGTCAGCATATTAATGAGAATTTGCTGCCTTT